GTTATATTAAAGTTTTTCTTCATTACCCATTCAAGCCGTCTCCAGCCATTGTTAGTCTCAAAGTGGGTTCCTCGTCATCGAATAAACAATGGTTAGTATCGACTTGACATGTAAATAGTTATACTCTACCCAATAGAAGCACTCAAGGTAATCTACTAACCAATGTTTTAAAAAACAATCAATGTAGCATTAACCTATGAGACCGGGTGGAAAGTTTTGAACCATGAAGGGGGCGACACTATGGTTGTACATATAATATGTGGCAGAGTTACCTCCTGTTATAGTGTTATAAGTTATTCTCAAGTGCTTGTGAATCTGTTTTGATGCAATTTGGTTGAGGAACTCACGCTGACCCCCAAAGATCAAGTTGAAATGGAAAAGCAGTCGTACGAACGGCTCATATTTGGCAATCATTTAACACTTCAGGTCAACGCCTAACAAATTGACCTTTGTTGACCTCTCCTACTCAGTAGACCTTCTTGTCGGATGACGCAAACGCCATCCCTATGAAACCAGTAACTGTTATGATGTGAACACCTATTTTAAGCTATAGTGTGAAAATATAATAGTTTTTTCTAATGACAAGTAAATTAATTACAACCATGTTTGACCTTAACAATTGCTGTTGTAACAAACGTATTATGTAAATAGTGTTCCGTTCATTACTGTGTTCGTAGTGTCCAAGCCGGACTGATGAGCTCTGGATTGAGCGAAATGCGTCTTCGGCAATGGATATGGCGAAAGAAGTGAATTGGGTTTGAAATACTACGATTATACACTCTTGTAATCCTTAAATCTCTAAGAAACAAAATAAAAAAGGTATCGTTGAAAATATAATGAGCTGAATACTAATATTTTTAATTACAAGTATAATGTGATATATTAACCATCTTTCTATTGTATAGGATAGAAAGCTCTAGAATAGCTTTTCGTTGAATTCAAAAGCAACAACTACACTGACATGTTTATAATATAGTATAGATATTAATAGTTCCTTTCGTTTATAGCTCTTCAAGTACAGAAAATATTACCATAACGTATCATTCTTTGAAAATAAGTTTCGTGTTTATAAAGATTTGTCGTACATGGAGCTGTTTGGGTTGATTTTGACGTACTATCTATTTAAGTAAAACCGAGAAGTTAAATGTTTTACTTGTGCATTCGTCTAGCTAGCTGATGTCGCCCTCCTCTACATCACGGCAAATCTGAGGGCTTACATCGCTTAAAATGATGTTTCGATATCTACGGTGGGCACAGTACAGATAGCCCATTGTATAGGTTTGTGCTTAACAACAAACAAACATGAAGTTGATTTTGTGGCCACTTTTGCTATTATGTTTTTAAACATTTTTTGTGTAGCGAGATTATTTGCATAGTTTGTCAAAGTTATTTAAAAGAAGCGCTCGAGTGCACTAAAGGTTTTTTTCACATACAATTTTGATGACAGATTTACAACGGCACTTTTCAACAAAGCAAGAAATATTCCGCATGAGAGGAACCATGGTATCTGTGTCGGTCACAATTATTGTTCAGCTGTACTCTGTGCTTCGGTCGTTTCGTGAATACAGATTTATTAGGTAGTAGGAAGAATTTATTTACAAAACTGCCTTATCGTTTCTTTTTTATTAGTCCTAATTTTGAAGTGTTTTAAATGTTTGTATTAGTAATTTATATGAACTGCATTCCATTTTATACTGTCCTAAATAATATAACTATTTCACTGTATTCATGTCCCAAAATGTTTACTGCTCTGTCCTAAATAATATACCTATTTCACTATATTCCCTGTCATAAAATGTTTACTGGAGCAGTAAACATTTTGTGACATGAAATACAGTGAAACAGTTATATTATTTAGGACAGGACAGTAAACGTTTTGTGACAAGGAATACATTGAAATAGTTATATTATTTAGGACAGGACAGTAAACATTTTGTGACAAGGAATACATTGAAATAGTTATATTATTTAGGACAGGACAGTAAACATTTTATGACAGGGAATATAGTGAAATAGGTATATATTTAGGACAGAACAGTAAACATTTTGGGATATGGAATACAGTGAAATATTAATATTATTTAGGACAGGACAGTAAACATTTTGTGACATGGAATACAGTGAAATATTAATATTATTTAGGACAGGAGTTGGTTTCCCTTTGAACAAACTCTCAATTTTTTACAGAGGATTATTTTCCACTTATTTTATTTCCATACTTAATCTGTGTTTGAAGATAAACAAAGAGAATTTTGATGCGTTTAAACAACAGAAAAGTTTACCTATTACGATGTTCCTGTTTGTTTTTGTTGTTGTTGTTGTTTCTAATCAGCATATATACCAGAAACGCTCCCTAAATGAGTACGTACAATTTCTATTAGAAATGTGTATGTATATAAAACAAAAGCTATAAACATAACAGAATGAGCAATGTATAACAAACCATACAGTAAAATAGTTTATTCAGGACAGGACAGTAATCATTTTGTGACATGGAATGCAGTGAAATAGGTATATTATTTAGGACAGGACATTAAACATTTTGTGACATGAAATACAGTGAAATAGATATATTATTTAGGACAGGACATTAAATATTTTGTGACATGAAATACAGTGAAATAGTTATATTATTTAGGACAGATGAGATTTGATTTTCATCTTTATCAGTTATTCTTTCTTTCTAAATGTCGAACTCATCGTTCTAAAGATATATTTATTTTTATTGTCTGTTTAATTATCTACATCTTGTCTGAATAGCTAACACCATGTCTGTTTAAGTACATATGGTCTATCATGTCTAAATATCTAGTGTTACGTCTGTTTAAGTAAGCATTGGTCTGTCATGTCTGAATAGCTAGTGTCATGTCTGTTTAAGTATCGGTCTGTCATGTCTGAATATATATATATATATATATATTGAATTTAACTGTATATTCGTTTTTGAATTTGGCCCTAAGCGACGTTTCCTTGTCACAGATATACTTTCATAGATTTTGTTTTCATCTATATATTGAAAGAGAGAAATATAATATCCCATGTTTTTGTTAGCACCTCAAGATATTTTTGTCACAGATATACATTCATATCCCACGTTTTTACACAAGTAACTCATGTTCATTAATATAAACCGCCTAGCAACTCGAAACGCTGTGTGGGATGGTAATGTTTCCTCGATCATTGATTAAGCAAAAAATCGTTATACATTCCTGTCCGTATCCCGTCATGCAACATCATTGTCTTTCCAAGGTGGTTGAAAAGTTTACGTGGGCGTTGTTTAAACTCATTCCGGTACCATTTGATCTTTATATTCAAAATGGTAAAATGTTTACTACAACATATTAATAAACACTTCGTAATGAAGACATAATTTACCACAATGTATTTTCATCATTTTTATGTGTCCAACTACTCCAGTGTTTAGTGTGACGTTTTCTTTTATGAACGTTCAATGAATAGCTAATCATAAACGCAGAAAGTTTACAACGTGTGCGGTACTTTACCTCTGCTGGGGGTTTACCGGCGTGGGCCTCACAGGTGAGTTGCACAGATTTCCCAGCTGTGGTCAAAAGAAAAGGGCCTTGCACAATTTTTGGTGGTTCTGGTGGTACTGAAAATACATAGGTTCGTGTTAACATACTTGTTATAAGTAATGACATTTTAATGCATTTCAACTCATAAATAGTTTCATTTGACACAAACAATTAAAGTATAAGGTTAAGAGATACAAGCACATAAAAAGACTCAGTTACTCGCCGAAACAGTTTTGATTATTGTAGAGAGTAAGTAAGCCATTTGCACGTAGGACATTGCATTTAGGGTATTTCATATTTAAAGTTTTTGAATATTATCATAAATATTATGAACTTATTTTGAATGTTTGTTCTAATTATCAAACTATCTATTCGACTACTGAGAGTTTGCTTCATATTGTAATCTCAACTAATGAGGTACGGAAAAATGTTTTCGTGTTATAGTTAAAGTGAGGTACAGATAGAGGTTTCATATTTTTGCACAACAAAACATAATCAGTCTTTTCGTTTACGTTTTCAATAAACTTAGAATACCAAACTCTTTAATAGTTTGTGATTGATCATCCTTCACAGGAAATACGATCAGTTACAAAATTGGAGACATTCAAATAACTATCTCTTTTACATTGGAGACATTCAAATAACTATCTCTTTTACATTGGAGACATTCAAATAACGATCTCCTTTACATTGAAGACATTCAAATAACGATCTCCTTTACATTGGAGACATTCAAATAACGATCTCTTTTACATTGGAGACATTCAAATAACTATCTCTTTTACATTGGAGACATTCGAATAACTATCTCTTTTACATTGGAGACATTCAAATAACGATTTCCTTTACATTGGAGACATTCAAATAACTATCTATTTGACATTGGGGACATTCAAATAACGATCTCCTTTACATTGGAGACATTCAAATAACTATCTCTTTTACATTGGAGACATTCAAATAACTATCTCTTTTACATTGGAGACATTCAAATAACTCTCTTTTACATTGGAGAAATTCGAATAACTATCTCTTTTACATTGGAGACATTCAAATAACTATCTCTTTTACATTGGGGACATTCAAATAACGATTTCCTTTACATTGGAGACATTCAAATAACTATCTATTTGACATTGGACATGTAAAATAAAAATTACAAAATAATAAGAAAAACAGTAATAAAAAAAACTTTTAGAAATTAAGGAACAAAGTAAGTTATTTTCTACTTAACTACAGTTGATGGCTAACAAACTGAACAAAGAAAACTCAATGAAGACAACAATAACCGATGAAGAGAAAGAAGGGAGTTTGTATATTTTGTTAAGTGTGAGCAAAAAATGTAAAACTAGCTAAGACGATCTGCGCATAATCGTCCATAGTTTGGAACTTATACAATGGAGGGTTTGTTTGTTTTGAATTTCGCGCAAAGTTACACGAGAGCCATCTGCACTAGCCGTCCCTAATTTAGCAGTAGAATACTAGAGGGAAGGCAGCTAGTCATCACAACCCACAGCCAACTCTTGGGCTACTCTATTACCAAGGAATAGTGGGAGTGACTGTCACATTATAACGCCCCACGACTGAAAGGGTGAACATGTATGGTGTGACGGGAATTCGAACCCGCGACCCTCAGATTGCGAGTCAAGAGCCCGAACAACCGGGCAACAGTAGAGAGAAAGCACCCAATCAAGAAAAATCCCGAGTTACTCTTCTCTGGACAAATAGGTGGACTTGACTGTCACTCTTACAGCGCACCACGACCCCAAAGTATTGAGCAAAGAGTTTCGACAACGAGATGCGCGGCGTAATTCCTCGGATTCACAGTCAGGGCACACTTACCATATAGCCACACCCATCCCAGGATTGATTTTTTAGGTGTAACAATAAGTTTTTAGAGTTTGCTTTTAAGAACAACAAAATCTTTTCTTTATTTGGACGTTCTGTTGATTTCCTACTCATTAAGAAAAGACTTATGTGGAAAGCTGAATCGCCGTACTTCAAGATCAGAAATACAACAACTTATTGTTGTAAAATAACTTCCCTTCTGCCTGAAAACTCGCAAAAATTAACCATTATTAAAGCTATATAACATAAAAGTTTAATAGAAAGCAGATAATTTTCTGAAAATATTTTGTTTGCGGACAGATGAGGATGCTTATTTTAAAATTGTAAGTAGACTGAAATGTTATTTTCTGATTTTAATCGAAGTTAAAATTAATCTCGTAAGCTACATATTTTGACGCAGTATTAAACGGTAGAAGCCATTTTCAAATATTTCATTGTTCAGTTCGAATATTCTACACAGTGTTATCTGAAAATAGTTAACAGTTCAAATATATAAGAACCAATAATATAAATTTTAGCTGTTGGAAAAAAACAAAGTCAAACTCTTCGTAATATTTAAGAAGATTAGAACACAATCACATTTAAGTCTAATTTATTGCCCAATAACAAACTCCTGAGGAATTATCAGGAAAAATAATTTAGCCCAAACCCTAAAACACAAAACATAAGAATGTGTTAAACAATCGTTGAAGATGGATAAGTTGTGTATTTTGTTTGTATATTGAGTAGCAAAACTATACATCATATACTGTCATTTTCCATGTTAAACTTCCTTTAACGAATGTTAAACGAATGGTATAAGTTAACAAGTGTTAAGTATAGCTTTTAGTATAAGTAATTGTGTTAAAAAATTGTATTTTAATAAAGGGTTTTAGATTTAATGAAATTACGATTCTACTTTCGCGTAAAAATATCGGTTTCTTCTTAGTATTTTTGCTTTAGAGAATTATTTCTGACTATAATTATAGTATTTTAGAGAGAAATACTTGTATTATTATTTGAGAATTTTGTATATTGTATTACTACATTAAATTACATAAAAATATGTACCCTTGTAACTAAAGTGAATGGTTTAATCATACATCAGTTGATAATATCAAACTATAATGTAGTATTTATGAAATCTTTGGCGAACTTTAAACCCAGTTTAACCCTAAAATTGCAAGTGGAATCTATGGACCCCTGCAGCTTTTTAAACACATTTATTATGAATTATTTATGCACCAGATTTCTTGCGGCTTCAAACCTTCGTGGTTATAGAGTTCCTAATGAAATATGGTTCATACAGAAAAAAAGTAAAAATACTACAAATATTATAGTTAATCCTACTATCCACTCCTAGATATTTTACATACAAAATTGTTTAGTCAGTTCCTTACACTGAGTGTTGTAACAGGCAAGAACATGAAATTAGTCAAAATGGTGTTATGTATGGATCCAACTGGCAGTGAACGGTATACAAACAAAAACATAAAATTAGTCAAAATGGTGTTATGTATGGATCCAACCGGTAGTGAACGGTATACAAACCAAAACATAAAATTAGTCAACATGGTGTTATGTATAGATCCAACCGGTAGTGAACGGTATAAAAACATAAAATTAGTCAAAATGGTGTTATGTATGGATCCAACCGGTAGTGAACGGTATAAAAACATAAAATTAGTCAAAATGGTTTTATGTATGGATCCAACCGGCAGTGAACGTTATACAAACCAAAACATAAAATTAGTCAACATGGTGTTATGTATGGATCCAACCGGTAGTGAACGGTATAAAAACATAAAATTAGTCAAAATGGTGTTATAGTATGGATCCAACCGGTAGTGAACGGTATACAAAAC